TAGATAGATAGATAGATAGATAGATAGATAGATAGATAGATGTGTTTTTCAGAAGAAGTTTTTAAGTCTTTTAAATTTAAAGATCTTATTTTAAGATTAAGTTAATCTGTTGGAGATTGGAACAAACTGATCTCCAGCTGCTTCCACAGATTGGGATTATAAATCCCTCCATCCATCACAGATTGGAGCAGAACGTGCAGAATTTACCGTCGATGGTCTCGTGGTAGCCCTTGGTGAGGAACTGGATGGCCTTGGCGGCGCGCAGCGGCGTGCGCAGCAGCCCCTCGCGGTCCGTGTCCTCCCCCAGGTGCCGCAGGATGCTGGTGTAGGCGGCCTCCAGCGCCGGGAGGCGGGACACGTCCTCGGACTCTTTGCGGGACGTCTCGTGCTTGCGGTGCGCGACGGCGGACTTCTTGGCGTCCATGATCTTGAGGTCGCCGAACGAGTTGTTGCAGAACTCCTCCACGGCCTCTGCGACCTTTCCGTTCATCATGATGCCTCTTTGGAGGAGAAGAAACAAAGTGAGGGTGAAGAAAGAGAAGACGATTGAAACAGATGAGTTTGAGGGACTGCTGTTTGTGCTTTCAACCTTTTATAAAGACAGCGGGAGCGCACCGACTTCTCATTGGCCAGAGGGCTTCTTACGTCACAACACCTTTCTCTCCTCCCCGCCCCTCGCTCCACGAGTTTGTGGCTGAGTCTGGCATCACTTGACACCTAATGCATTAGGCTCGACTCCGCTTCATTTGTTCTGGTTGTGTTCTGGGTTTTCATTTTAAAAAGGCTCAACAGGCTCATGACACTTCTTCTTCTTCTTCTTCTTTTGGTGGTGGGGGGACTTTGGCCTCAGCCAGGCCCTCCTGACTCAAACTTCTAGTCAGAAACCAAACATGGGATCCAGTTCCTACAGCTGAGATCAAATTCAGTGATCTTTAAGAGTTATAAGCAGCTGTTTCTTCAGCTCATTTTGTAATTAAAAGCCGAAGGTTTCTCGGAGGAATGCATATCGCCCGCTGCCTTTCATGCCAGGGTTTAAACTATAAACATGACAGAGTTACAGCTGTTTTGGTCAAACTTGTAACGAACATTTTGCACAGTCTCCTGTGATGGCGTTAGCACTCAGGGTATCTGTTATGAATGACTCTCAGCTGCTACCACACTAAACTTTAGCTCAATATTTGTAAAACTGATGGACTTATAAGCATTTTATGTTGGCTGCAGTTGATTAGCTGTTATGGCCATTTTGATTTTCACTTTACTTTAAAAGTTAATGAACTGTAAATCTACACCCATTCTGAAGGTTTTGTTATAATTGGTGCAGTAGTTCATCATATATATTTTGCTAACAGACACACTTTTCGCTCCTACAGTTAATGGCAACGTTTTAAAAACTGATCTTGAGCGACTCTCCACCACAAATAATTTTTAGCTCAATATCACAGCGAGGCGCCGCGTGAGGTGTAGCAGGAATTCACACACTCAAATGAACATGAACATTGTAAAATGATTCACCACCAGGCAGGCTCTTATTTTCTCTTTCAGAATTTCTCAACATTGTCATAGAAGAGCCCAATGCATTCTGGGAATCCTGAGAACAAATGTTGACCTGCAACATTTTGTTTCCTGTAAAAGAGATTTCAAAACATTTGGTAGCACAGACAAAAGATTTAATTACAGAAAAATCTAGCTGTTAGGCACGAGGGAGGATGCATTATGGTTTGGGTGTTAGTTGCAGCTGGTGGATGATGGGAAATTTCTCTGTTTTGGAGGAGATGAAGGAGCTTGTTGTGGTTTTAAGGGTAAACAAGCTTGAATTCAGCACATGGAGGAGATGAAATTGTAAAGTTGTGCAAGCGTTTAGGAACTGGATTTGATTCCAAATTAAAGTTTGATGGGAACACAGCGAGCCAAGCGAGGTCAGCAGAGAATCCACTAGCAACGAAGCTAAACTCCTTAAGGGCGTCTATGTTTCATTAGTCCATTTTACTTATTTAGTTTTCGGTTAGTTCTGTGGTCTGTCTTTAAAACATATGAACAGTCATTAGGGGTGACTGTGGTGCAGTGTTACGGCAGCTCTTTTAGGATGGAAAGGTTAGCCGTTTGATTCCCTGCCTTGTTTATGCATCCATGTGCTTGAGCAATGCACCTATTCTTTAACTGCTCCTATTCAATATAGCTAACCAGTGCTTCATTTGGGTGTATCTCGCATGGATGAAATGCAGAAAACAAATTTTGTCATTCACTGGAACATACATTGATGATGACGATACACAGCATCAGCAGCCATTTAGAAGGTCTGCTCCAAAATAATAGGAGTCTAGCAGAAAGATGTCCGATTGGTTTGTTGTTCTGCGTATCTGCCCTCACTACGGTTTGTTTTTGTTGTTTTGTGTGCATATGGGCGTGGGTGTTTGTTTATCTGTGTGGCAGCTGGATTCAATTGCCTAATGGGGATAAATAAAATTGTCGAACAGAATGAAATCCATTTGAGCAACTTGGAGACAAACACTTTCGTGAAAAAAGCTAAATCTGGAAAGAGGCTTCTTTTCTCAAAAAATAGTCAGCCTTAAAGTCTTTACAGTCGCCGTCATTAAAACCATCTTAAAGTTCAGTTAATAAACCTCTAAAAAGTGTGAAATCCATCCATCCAGCCATCCATCCGTTATCTTTACCCGCTTCTTCCTTTGTGGGTCGCGAGGATCACTGGTGGCCATGCCCGTGTGCGAGAGGTGGGGTACACCCTGGACAGGTCTCCAGTCCATCACAGAAACACATACAGGTTCTGAGCATGCATCAGGACATACAGGTTCTGGTCATAAAATTAGAATATCATGAAAAAGTTAATTTATTTCAGTAATTCCATTCAAAAAGTAAAACTTGTATATTATATTCATTCATTACACACAGACTGATATATTTCAAATATTTATTTCTTTTATTGTTGATGATTATAACTGACAACGTATAAAACCTCAAATTCAGTATCTCAGAAAATTAGAATATTGTGAAAAGGTTCAATACTGAAGAACCTGGTGCCACACTCTAATAAGCTCATTAACTCAAAACACCTGCAAAGCCCTTTAAATGGTCTCTGTCTAGTTCTGTAGGCTACACAATCATGGGGAAGACTGCCGACTTGACAGTTGTCTAAGACGACCACTGACACCTTGCACAAGAAGGGCAAGACACAAAAGGTCATTGCTAAAGAGGCTGGCTGTTCACAGAGCTCTGTGTCCAAGCACATTAATAGAGAAGCGAAGGGAAGGAAATGATATGATAGAAAGAAAGTGTACATGCAATAGAGATAACCGCACCTTTGAGAGGATTGTGAAACAAAACCCATTCCAAAATGTGGGGGAGATTCACAAAGAGTGAACTGCAGCTGGAGTCAGTGTTTCAAGAACCACCACGCTCAGACGTATGCAAGACAAGGGGTTCAGCAGTCGCATTCTTTGTGTCAAGCCACTCTTGAACAAGAGACGGCGTCCGAAGCATCTCGCCTTGGACTGCTGCTGAGTGGTCCAAAGTTATGTTCTCTGATGAAAGTAAATGTTGCACTTCCTTTGGAAATCAAGGTCCCAGAGTCTGGAGGAAGAGAGGAGAGACACGGAATCCACTTTGCTTGAGGTCCAGTGTCAAGTTTCCATAGTCAGTGAAAGTTTGGGGCGTCATGTCATCTGCTGGTGTTGGTCCATTGTGTTTTCTGAGGTCTAAGGTCGACACAGCTGTCTACCAGGAAGTTTTAAAGCACTTCATGCTTCCTGCTGCTGACCAACTTTATGGAGATGCAGATTTCATTTTCCAACAGGACGTGGCACCTGCACACAGTGCCAAAGCTACCAGTACCTGGTTTAAGAGCCATTGTATCCCTGTTCTTAATTGGCAAGCAAACTCTCCTGACCTTAAGTCTATGGGGTATTGTGAAGAGGAAGATGTGATACACCAGACCCAACAATTCAGAAGAGCTGAAGGCCAGAGCAACCTGGGCTCGTACATACTTTTCATGATCGTACTTTTCAGTTGGCCAACGTTTCTAAAAATCATTTTTTTTTAAATTGGTCTTAAGTAATATTCTTTTTTTTTCTTAGATACTGAATTTGGGGTTTTCATTAGTTGTCAGTTATAATGATCAACAATAAAAGAAATAAACATTTGAAATTCATCAGTCTGTGTATAATGAATGAATACAATGTACAAGTTGCACTTTTTGAATGGAATTACTGAAATTAAATAAACTTTTTCATGATATTCTAATTTTATGACCAGCACCTGCAGAGACAAACGAGACAAACAACATTCATTCTCTCACTCACACCTAGAGACAATTTAGAGTTACCAATCAGCCTAACATGCATATTTTGGTGTGTGGGAGGAAACCAGAGTACCTGGAGAAAACACGCATACACAGAGAAAACATCCAGAAAGGCCCTCGGACCAGGATTTGAACCAGGGTAACCTGCTCGCTGAGAGGCAGCAGCTCTACCAGTTATGCCACCATGCTGCCCGCTTTAAAATCTAGTCTTATTTAAAAATAAACCCACTGGTCGGCTGAACTGAGTTCATCCGTGGGCCTGATTTGGCCCCCGGGCCATCAGTTGAATAGCCCTGATCTATGGAATATTGATGATTCAATGAACTGCTAAAAGTGAACAGCACTGTTTTGCATTTTGAACTGACGAAAAAGAGTTTGACATTTTGAGAGGGGAGTGAAAGCAGCTGGTGTGAGTTAAACAGGAAAAAGCTTACACTGAACAGAAGCTGTGACCCCCTTCACCCCCTCCCTGTAGGCCAGGGTATCATCCTTCTTACACTGTAGCCTGGAACATGCTGGTCAGGCAGCAAATATTTATCATTTAACATAATTTTTTTCTTTTAAATTCTAGTTTCACCGAGAATTAATTTGGTTTACTCGTCATATTTTATTGTGTTTAGAAAATATAACCTTGTTTTGTGATCAAATAAAAGAACATTGTAATGAAGATGTATAGCAGCTTAACAAAAATGTACTTTGTATGAAAAAGGAAAAGTTCAAGTCAAATCTTGATGTCAGAGCAGGAGCTTACGTTTAGTCTGCTTTAACCTTACAGGGAATTTTTTCTAACTTTAGAAAGTTCAGGAATAACAAGTTAGCCTGCTGTTAAAAAAAAATGTGTGGTCAGTAATCAACTGCGTTTTAAATCGTTTTAAAGTTTTCAACTATAAACAAAGTTGTATTCTTTATTCAAGTATTGTAAAGGCAGAGTTGTGTTATGCTGAATTCTTCAAATAGTAAAAGTTTTCTTTATAAGTCTAATAAGACTGAGTCTTTTATCCAGAAGATTTCTTCAGTCTGAGGAGCTGTTTGTAAATAATTGGTCGTTATGCTGATGGGGCCTCCTTTCACACGTGAATAACCAATTTTGGCTGTCACAAGCAAAGTGGTTGATCCACTATGAGAATGTGCTTTTTGTGACTGTTTATCGCAGTGTGTCAGACTGAGTCTTTAGGAAAAGACAAAATGTTTCCACAGAGAAGAATCCGCCCAGAGGACCTGACTTAACCCTATTACCTGGATCATTCAGGACACCTGGCTTGATAAGAGTTCAGAACTGTTACTGCTTTAAAAAGTGAAATATCTTGGGTTCATAATTTATTGCAGTTACCAGGTTTGGTACATGTCAACCAGGCCTGTTATGGAGAGGTGTTAATAAATGTTTTCTTTCATAAAAAACTATGAAACTGTATAAAGCACAAAATAAATTATCTCTTTGTTTATCTCCACCCAGATTTAACTGATGTTTTATCACCATTTTGTTGGGATGAGATGATATGCAGCAGGTTGTTGTTCCATCCATCCATCCATCCATCCATCCATACATACATACATACATACATACATACATACATACATACATACAT